GTGGCGCTACTCCCCACGGGCTCCGTTAGCGTCAAAGGAGATGGCTAAAGCTAGGCTACATGCTAAAGCTAGGCTAAATGCCTCACTCACTCGGGTTCATTACATACGTCACATAAACTCAGGTCCAATGGTTTCAATCTGCAAAAGCAGTTAGCCCCTCCCACCTGTTAACGGAGTCAATGGAGCTAATCCAGACCTTAGTATGAAATGTAATTTGTACTATGGTGTGGTACAACCAGGCTAGACCAGACCCAGGCCAGACCAGACCCAGACCCAGACCAGAAGTTATATTTCGTTATGAGCCATGTATCTAGACCAAATAGATACAATTTGAGGTAAGAATTGCTTGAAATGATGAGTTTTTGTCTTAATCCGAGCACATTCTGACGGTCCTAAAACCAGATTCTCCAATGGGACAAATCCATTTAGTCTAATTTCAATTTCTGATTCCAAGGGAGACATTTCTTGTATCTGTGGTGGTTTCAGATTTGTTTGCCATTTGCAGTAAAACCCCATTGGAATACAGTACCCAGTGTGCACTATAAGTAATTAACAAAACAGGGTAAAAAGTACAAGAAACAATGGTCACAGTGAAAACAACAGATACAGCAGTGTTCCAGACCCGCCGTGTGTCAAGTAAATGAATGATACCATGTGACGCCTCTTTTGTGGTCATAAAATGCAGAAGATAAGATAAACTTTATTGATCTCACATTTGGCTTAAGATACAATCACTCTGTGCAAAAAGACAGGAATGTGCAAACATAAATGTGGTCTCTTTGATGTAAGATTCAGAATATTAAGTACAATACACCAATTAAAAGTGACGATAGCAGTGGGGGGTTTTCAGTCCGAGTGCAGGGCATTAAAGTGACTTATTGTACAGTCTGACAGCGATGGGGATGAAGGTAGCGCTCCATCTTACTCTGAGGGTGCCTGTATTAGCAGTAAATAGAGATTTTATACTTAATGTTTGAGATATTATTTTATTTTGGTATAGAGTTGTTTACTTGAATGGGTGCTGTGTTCTCCCCCTTCCTGGTGATGCAACACTGACATTTCCCCGCAGTGGGACCAATAAAGCATCTCATAGTCTTAATCTAAAACCCTTATTATTATTAAACTATCAAAGCTCACACACTGTGGGTCGTGCTACAGTGCTAGCTCTGTTAGCGCCGTTGCCGTGGTTACCTGTGAGCAGATACTCATGTTGAGCAGCGAGGTGTTGCCGTCCTGCAGCTCCGAGTCCGATTCCCCGAAGAAGTCGTCGTCTTCGGGGCTGAACAGGTCTTCGTAGATGTGGTCCTGCAGCAGCTCTGGCATCAGGGGCCGGTCCAGGGGCAGGAGGAGGGCGGGGGGCTGGGGCCGGGGGGGCACCTCCATGATGCCGGCTCTCTGGGGGAACAGGAGGAGGAGATACACTGGTTAGACAAGGCCAGGTTTATTGTATAGCACAGTGTAGGATCTGACCTCCACAAAATGGACTTGGGGCAAAGCAAGACTATTCAAGAGATCAGGTTTTTAAGGTCACAGCGACTTCAGTCATGTTTAGGGAGGCACCAATTCCACTTTTTGTACCAATACGAGTACCTTAATTTTGAGTACTTGCTGATACTGAGCATCAATACTGAGTATCGGCAAGTATCGGCAGGCCCCATTTATACGGAGCCGCTGTAAAACGCTATAGTCGGATGTCGGTTGCTACCCCCCGTTCATACAGAGACTGTTCCAAGAGTTCAGATCCAGCCTCAGAGTGGGACAGCTCAGATGCTCAGCAGGGGGCGCTCTTTCAGCCTCAGAGTGGAACAGCTCAGATGCTCAGCAGGGGGCGCTCTTTCAGCCTCAGAGTGGAACAGCTCAGATGCTCAGCAGGGGGCGCTCTTTCAGCCTCAGAGTGGGACAGCTCAGATGCTCAGCAGGGGGCGCTCTTTCAGCCTCAGAGTGGGACAGCTCAGATGCTCAGCAGGGGGCGCTCTTTCACACCCACAAAAAGATAAAGGTGTGAATTCTGTGCTGCTGATCGGACCCCACCTCCCGCTGCTCCCACACGTACATTTGGACATGCGCAGTAGAACAAACGTAAACAACAATGGCGGCGGGTAGCTAACTGGGGGGAAGGTTGTGGATCAGGTGTGTCTTGTTGTAAAGTTCCTCTGCCCCCTACTGGCCAGGCGCTAGAACTACATCGTTTGTATTCCTCTTATGAACACTGTGAAATGTGCATAAGGAGCCTGGTCGTTTCTGCGGCACGGTGGCTGAGTGGATACTAGCACTCTCGCCTCTCAGCAAGAAGGTCCTGGGTTCGAATCCCGGTTGGCCCAGGGCCTTTCTGAGTGGAGTTTGCATGTTCTCCCCGTGTCTGCGTAGGTTTCCTCCGGGTGCTCCGGTTTCCCCTACCACTAAAAATATGTACAATAGGTCTGGCATGTGCCTCCTGTTCTGGCACCCCCACTCCCAAAAATAACAATTGTAAACCGCTTTGAGACTCCGATGTGCAGTGAAAAGGCGGTATATAAATAAAGATTACTACTACTACTACTACTTACTACGTCTGTGCAGCGCCTCCGTATAAACGGGGCCTCAGAGTCCTCCTTGGTTCATGTCACAGATGTACTTTGGTGTGGACCATGGAGACTTTTACACAACCTACTACTGCTTTAAAGTCTATTCTCTGAGCCCCATGAAGCCAGTGCAGAGACCTGAAAACTGGACTAATGTGACCGACTCTGCACCGCTATAGATTCTGAACTCAGACTGGATCATTCCCGCCTGTATTCTCAAACCCCACGGTCAGAGAAAGTACTTAGTCTAACTGGATCATTCTCAAACCCCACGGTCAGAGAAAGAACTTAGTCTAACTGGATTATTCTCAAACCCCACGGTCAGAGAAAGAACTTAGTCTAACTGGATTATTCTCAAACCCCACGGTCAGAGAAAGAACTTAGTCTAACTGGATTATTCTCAAACCCTACGGCCAGAGAAATAATTTAGTCTAACTGGATTATTCTCAAACCCCACGGCCAGAGAAAGAATTTAGTCTAACTGGATTATTCTCAAACCCTACAGAGAGAGCTCCTCCTGCTCTTCGTTTACTGCCGTTGGACACAGCTGTATTGTCTCTGCTGCTTCACACTGAGCCTCCACATGTCTCACCTCTGACTGCAGCTCACTTCCTGTCAGGACCATTTACAGACCTGTTTCCACATCACACTTTCTCTGTTTACGCTGTGGTTTGGTCCCAGTTTGACCCCAGTTTGACCCCATGCTCTGAGTGGGAGTCCTATCTTTGCCAACACAACACAAAACATACATATCCTGGAGGTGCAGCAGGGTCTAAGGACTGGGTCAAAGGACTGGGTCAAAGGACTGGGTCAAAGGACTGGGTCTAAGGACTGGGTCTAAGGACTTGGTCTAAGGACTGGGTCTAAGGACTGGGTCTAAGGACTGGGTCTAAGGACCTATAACAGTGGTTAGCATTAGCAACAGTGGTTAGTATTAGCAAAGTATAGTTTGTTGCTAATGCTATGATAAAAACATAGAAAAACGGTACAAACAGATAAAGAAAAAGTCACAAAGCCACAAAGACCAAAAATGTCCATACGTCAAATCGACTGCTCTGGGAGTTTTTGTGTCAGGTGGAAATGACTCCTCATGAGAGTCATTCAAAGAGCCTCCGTTGTCATGAGACTAGGAGCTGTGATGTCACTTCCTGCTCGGCTCGTCAAGGAGAAGACACGAGAGAGAATAACAATAATCGATCACAGCAGAGAGTTTTGAAGGCCTCTGGTTAGTTTAGATTCTGCTTTTTTCCAGTTTAGATGAGACTAGATTCTATTTTATTATCATTGTGGTGGATTCTTCAGCCACATACAACAAAGGACGAGACTGAACGGCTGGCGGCAATTTATACCCCGGAAGAGTCCAAGTTATACCCCGGAAGAGTCCATATTAGACCCCGGAAGAGTCCAAGTTATACCCCGGAAGAGTCCATATTAGACCCCGGAAGAGTCCAATTTAGACCCCGGAAGAGTCCAATTTAGACCCCGGAAGAGTCCAATTTAGACCCCGGAAGAGTCCAATTTAGACCCCGGAAGAGTCCAAGTTATACCCCGGAAGAGTCCAAGTTATACCCCGGAAGAGTCCAAGTTATACCCCGGAAGAGTCCAAGTTATACCCCGGAAGAGTACATATTAGACCCCGGAAGAGTCCAAGTTATACCCCGGAAGAATCCAAGTTATACCCCGGAAGAGTCCAAGTTATACCCCGGAAGAGTCCAAGTTATACCCCGGAAGAGTCCAATTTAGACCCCGGAAGAGTCCATATTAGACCCCGGAAGAGTCCATATTAGACCCCGGAAGAGTCCAATTTAGACCCCGGAAGAGTCCAATTTAGACCCCGGAAGAGTCCAAGTTATACCCCGGAAGAGTCCATATTAGACCCCGGAAGAGTCCAAGTTATACCCCAGAAGAGTCCAAGTTATACCCCGGAAGAGTCCAAGTTATACCCCGGAAGAGTCCATATTAGACCCCGGAAGAGTCCAAGTTATACCCCGGAAGAGTCCATATTAGACCCCGGAAGAGTCCAAGTTATACCCCAGAAGAGTCCAAGTTATACCCCGGAAGAGTCCATATTAGACCCCGGAAGAGTCCATATTAGACCCCGGAAGAGTCCATATTAGACCCCGGAAGAGTCCAAGTTATACCCCGGAAGAGTCCATATTAGACCCCGGAAGAGTCCAAGTTATACCCCGGAAGAGTCCAAGTTATACCCCGGAAGAGTCCAAGTTATACCCCGGAAGAGTCCAAGTTATACCCCGGAAGAGTCCAATTTAGACCCCGGAAGAGTCCATATTAGACCCCGGAAGAGTCCACTGGTCCCAAGAATCGGGGGGTGTTAGTTTGGGTTACTCCTCCTGTAGTTAAGCCCTTAGTTCTTGGTGAGGGGTTCTTCTTTTGATTTTCCTTGGTTTGGTTTGGTTTGGTCCACTTTAGTTGGCCACACATATTTGTATTTTTTTTGTTTGAGAGCTGATTTTTCACCTGTTGTCTTTGCCTTTTGTTTAGTCCATTACAATAATTTATTATCATTTATGATCAGAAGAACGCAACAAAAAGCAGTTTATTTATAGTCTGTGCATTTCCTTTGCTGTTGTTTAATTTTTTTAAATTGCAAAACACGTTTCTGTATCAATATATCGTCCACTAAAATGTGCAGTCATGACAGATCAACTCCCCGTCCAAACAAACATATTTTTCGATGACGTGTGTGTTGCGGACCTTTGTGTTGTGTTATAAAAACCCGAAGTATCCATTAAGACCATAAACACAAGCTCACTGTGTCATCCAGCCACCTTCAGCCCTACCAATACAGACATGCTACACCTCCTTGTAAAGCTCAGAACCTCCTGAATCCAGTCTGTATTTGTATTTACGGAGATATCTTTTCTCACCGTGTCCTAAAACGGCATAAAAAGCGCCATGGTATCTGTGGTGAAACTTTCTGGGTTGTACTTTCTGGGTTCTCGGGCCCTGGACTGGTCTCGGTCTCTGGGTTCAGTGTGACAGACTGTGGTGATGTCGGTCCCTTCGTCACAGACCGCGGCGGCCTCGACACGCCTCTACTGGGCACGCTCAGTCCGCTCAGATGTTGTGACAGCTGTGAGTATGAACGTCACACAAAACAAGTACCTCTTTTAAATCATGCCTAAAGCCGGTCAGACACTGCCAGGGGCGTGGAGAGAGGAGAGAGGAGGGAGGAGAGGGGAGAGAAGAGGGAGGAGGGAGGAGAGAGGAGAGAGGAGGGAGGAGGGAGGAGAGGGGAGAGAGGAGGGAGGAGGGAGGGGAGAGAGGAGAGGAGAGAGAGAGGAGAGAGGAGAGAGGAGAGGGGAGAGAAGAGGGAGGGAGAGAGGAGGAGAGGAGAGAGGAGAGAGGAGGGAGGAGAGAGGAGAGAGGAGGGAGGAGGGAGGAGAGAGGAGAGAGGAGAGAGGAGAGAGGAGAGAGGAGAGAGAGGAGGGAGGAGAGAGGAGGGAGGAGGTAGGAGAGAGGAGAGAGGAGAGAGGAGAGAGGAGAGAGGAGAGAGGAGGGAGGAGAGAGGAGAGAGGAGAGAGGAGAGAGAGGAGGGAGGAGAGAGGAGAGAGGAGAGAGGAGAGAGGAGAGGGGAGAGAGGAGGGAGGAGGGGAGGAGGGAGGAGGTAGGAGAGAGAGGAGAGGGGAGAGAGGAGAGAGGAGGGGTGGAGGGAGGAGGGGAGGAGAGAGAGGAGAGGGGAGAGAGGAGGGTGGAGGGAGGAGAGAGGAGAGAGGGAGGAGAGAGAGAGGAGACATTTATGCTTCTTTCCAAGTAACAGCAAAACTTATTTACACACAAACAGCATATATTTCAAAACTTACACTTTAATGC